ATCGGGCTACTAATGGACCGACATAATTGTACACTTCTGCGTCATGGTCGTCTTGATCTGTTAGTTTATATCCTCTGCCAAATGAACAATCACACCTCCAATTTTCAAGGCTTGCCTCCGAAAATCACCACTTTCAAAGACATTCATCTGAGAGCTCTTGCCAAATATACTCAAAGATTTAGCGAGGCTGATATCACAAAGATAAGCCAACGGGCTTGCAAATATGCAGTCAGAGAAAATATTGAGAAAGTATGACTCTCTCCTACTATAATTTAATTTTGTCTACATGTTTATGAATATCTTAGATTTTTATGTGCCTTCCGACTTGAAGCTTGTTTGAGAAGTGCTAGTTTAAATTATAAATAGATTTCATGTCTGGTAGTGGTAATCATCCTTCATAGATTTTATTTGAATTTAAATAAACTTATTGATTTAATATTCCCCTTGTACTTTTCCTTCTTTTCTATGCTGGATCTAAGTTCCAACTCTAGTAGTTTGTTTTGGGACAAGAGTTTATTCTTCTAACACATTTAATCTAAAATGCACAAAATCTAATTAAGACTCTAACTTCTTACTTGTTGCACATAGCTATTTGTTATAAATGAAATCTAAATGTAATAGAAATTTGGTGTTGAGCAAAGTGGATTAACAACGAAAACAAAACCAGCAACAAGAAATCGCAAAAATGGAAGGTTTGAACATAATTATGAATCGCTGTCCTTAAACAATATTTGCCTCCACCGGGATAAGTGGTTGAAGGATTCAATGGCAAATATGTTGCAGGAGTAAACACACATGAATCCAAGTTTGAATCAAGCAAACAAAATATGGAAAAGGAACTTTCAAGAACAATATAAAAAACTAGGTTTGATCTTTGATTTTGGATGTTGATGAACGAATTTGATGTTTGTAATATTATTTCAATCAAGAAAACTACTCATATATATATAGAATCACAATTACCATACACGAAAATGTTTAAAAACCAAGCCAAAAGGATGTAAATCCCTTCAAAACGACGCCAAAACTCAAAAAATACAACGGGCAAATTTTTGTGTTAAGCGCCCGCCCAATTCAACAACCTGACCGCTGTAATTGCAACATAAGGCCGGGCGGCGTTCAGGTCATTTTCCAGCCATCATATTTTTTTGTTCTCGTTTGTTTTTCTCATGATTAACTATTTTCATCACTTTCAAAATCACTTCTCATTGTTAATTTGAACAACATCCAACAATTGAACCAAGGAAAAGAAGAAATGACATCTTTATATAAGTTGGTAGATATCTTGGACAAAATTATTTTATTTCATCAAAGCATGCAATGGATGAAAAATTGTTATTCATTCATATGTTATATAGTATATATACCTTTTTGTTTACTAAATATATACCTTTTTGTTATTTAGTAAAGTTAATACTCTTTTTAGCCTTCATTTGGAATTGTGCCAGTGAATTTTTTTAATTTAAGATAAGATGTGGCCAATTCTCGTATTAAAGAGATGCTTTGGGTTATTTTTTTGCTATTGGTATGATTTGATGATGTGGACATAATAATGATTTCATTTGATGATGTTAAATATATAGTCTGATCGTTTAGAAGAGGAGTTTATTTGAAGATCTCTCTCTTATTTACTTTCTCGAGCAAGCTATCACATAGATGAAGAAGTCAGTCTTAGTTGCTGGCAATTCAGAGGTCGCGAGTTCTATTCGTGGGGCTCTTGGAAGGCCGGCTCTCTCCTGAAATGCAGAATTTATCCTGAAAGGCCGGAGTTCTCCTGAAAGACAAGGTGCAACATGTGTTGACTCGCTCGGCACTTTGACAAATCAGTGGAGGGGGCTCTTGGACCCTGGCCAGTTTAGGGCACATCCCGCTGTTTACCTGATCTGCGTCTTGAGGGGCCAAGACGAAGACCTCAGAATTAGTCGTCGAAGGTGGACACCCGAGTATTAAAAATAAAAATAAAAAAAGCCAGTCTCGCAGGCAATGGTCCGAATTTTGCTAAGCTGGTAATTTTTTCCTCCTTTTTTGTAC